GGCATATAATCATTACCGGCTAATCAGCAGGAAACCTTTAGACATGGGCATCCCTAGAGAATATACGCCTGTTCTCTCGTGTGGTTACCTCTTGGGCATAAATCTAGGTTATCTCTGTAATTAGGTTCAAAAGCAAGAGTAAGAGATACAGGTAGCCTGTATATCATGTAATGACCTATCATCCAATACGCTAAACGAGTCTACTACAGCCCCTTTGCTCAAAAGCAAGTTCTCTCTAAGGAGAATCGAGGGGGTTTACGCCCTAGTGAGTATAGTAAATGGGCAAATTTACATTGGTAGTAGTGTGAATCTGGGGGTACGTTTATTAGCTTATGTGCAGTACCTAATACGTAACGCTACTTTGCTTATAGTAAAAGGTATAGTTAAATACGGTATCGCTAATTTCTATCCGTGGTCTTGGAGACTTGCCCCGGTTGCTTGCGGGTCCCTTGCTATGGTTGCTATGGTTGCTATGCTAGGGGGTGGGCTTCAAAGAAGCCCCGGGGGAGCCTATGGCTGCGACCTGGGACTTTGCATAGCAACCATCCCAAGCCGGAACTACCAAGCCGCAAGTACCAAGCAGAAACAGGGGGCTAAGAATCCTATGTTTGGTAATCCCTCAGCTACAACCAAGGAGGTCTTGTTACATGAGACCACTAATGAGGGGAGTATTCTTACTTTACTCGTTTCCTTGCTAGGGGCTAAAGCCCCCCGGCATAACATGATTCAGGCGTGGTTGGTATGCTACCAACCATACCAAGGGCAATTCCTTGAGGGGCCATACGAGAGAAGACTTATTCCGAACATGGTTTAAGCCATGTACCCTCGTTGTACTCTTACCTGTGATTAGTAAGGTGAGAGGCCATGAGGCCATAGGGTATCACTATGCTCCTAACTGACCGTAATTTTAACACCTGCTTCTATGAACCGGCGGGCGGAGGAGACCTGTTACTTTATCAACACCTTGACTTTATAGGAGTAACATGTCATCAATCACCTCTATTCAGTGCCCCTCCCTTGGATACCTTGATTCTAATCCAAAGAATGCCCGCTACTGTTATTCTCAGTCTCTGGTGATGGTGAGAGAGGACTACTTCTGGCATGTCTTTGCTTACTTCGCCACCTTCTGTGCTCCCTTGAGTGATGCGGGGGGTTCAGAGAACCCCGGGGCTTCAGAGGAAAACCCCCCGCCCACAGATTTGATAAGGTAAGACCTACTCTTGCTTGGAGATGGCAATCTCCCTTCTTTTTGACTGAACTCCCCCGTGAGCTGTTCTACTTGAATGGGGTTCAAATATACCTGCTTGCCTTTTCAATTGGTTTACTGTAATAGAGCTTGCTTTCCTAAGTATGACGATGAGGCATTTATGCCCAGAAGGGGCGTTCTAATAGCAACCAACTCTTTGACTGTTCTCGAGGTGGGAATCCCAATCAAGGGTTTGAGTCTAAGTTTGGCTTGATTCCTCGAATCCGTATGCAGCATGGGCAAGCCTCTCATTTATGACCTGCTTCGGATATGCCTCATCTACGTGAACTTGTTCTTCCTTACTTTCATCCTTGAATTAGTCTGTCTAAACTGGGTTTAATTGCTTCAATAGCATTCTCCCCCCGAATAGAGAGGATTGATGACTCCTCCTGC